TTGTTCCTTTCACACATCTCCTACATTTCAAAAGTAGAAAATGAGAATGATTACCATTTAAAGAAATAAACATATTCTTTTTATACGTACAAGAACACAAGTTTTAGAATATAGCCTGATATTCAGTTGACTTCCACAAGTTTGCAAGATATTCTGCATCTTCTCTTGTAATTTCTGGTGGAATATTAGCTAAAGCTTCTGCAATTGTATCATATTTGTACAACCATTTTTTCTTCAAGCTATCTCTCCAATTATTATAAGATCGATTAAGTTGACGTAAAACATAAGCCTCATGGCCTTCGACTTTAAATCGCTCCTACATGGCAAAAAACAATGGCAATTAAAGCAAGTGATAAGTAAATAAAATAACTAAGTATCACATACTAATGTAAGCTCAAATAGTTTTCTTTTTGTTGTCATGTCAATATCTCTCCAACTTTTCACTTGTAGAGGTGTAAAGTTGACTTGTCGAGCCAAAATAGTGCATTGGCTTTTGAAAATATCAGCATTATCTCGAACAGGTCTTTTGTTCCTCCATGATACTTCAAATCTAATCCCGTGAGGTAATCTAACTAGTTTAAGATTGCGTGTGGGACCACGCAGTTTTCTTGGCCCTACAAAAGAAGATTCTAAAATAAAAAGAAAAAAGAAAGGGTGAGTTAGAAACAAACCAAATAAAATTAAACTAAAAAAAATATTACCTCCATTAACTGTCCTTTCATAACTAGTAGTTGATCCAATTTCTCCTGTAAAAGATGATGAAGCTTCTAGACCAACTTGTGTTTTAGATTTTGTTGAAGATGTAGATGTAGTCGCCCCTACAATACTATTCTCATGACTATTTATACTATTTCTATCTTGGAATTTGATCTTTGCTCTATGAGATGAAAAGTTTTTCATCTTTTTCCCTATCATATATCGCACTTAATAGTAGAATTACACTTTCAACCTGCAAATTATAACTTTTCAAATATAGATAATTCTACGATTCAAAACTTGTAACAAATAAGCAGTACATAATATTCAATTCAAATAAACTTCTTAACATATTAATAAAGTCACATAATTGGGCAGTCGCTTAGGAAAACCATTAATACAAGATTCATAATACCAAATAACAAGAAGTAATCCAGAAGAAGTCACCATCTTCAAACAATTATCAATATTAAATTCCTTGACAATCTACATCTTTGATTACAGAAATCTTGTAATAATCTCTTGGATCAACCTTCAACACAAAATACCAAGTTGGATTTCTTCTATCTTCAAGATAAACAACTTGTTCAGATTGACATGCCAATACAAATTGCTCATTTGCAGCAAATGTGTAGGTCATATTCACACTAGTTAATCCATGATCATCAACTTTAATTCCTTTACCACGACTATTGATATCCCACCATTTACATTTAAACAAAATAACATTATTTCCTCCCATACGCTGCAATTCAATAATTTCATGCAAAACACCAAAGTACTCTCGATTGTCAGTTCCTCTCACTACTACCCCGCTATTTTGTGTTTTTCTTAAATCATCAGCATCCTTTATACAAAACCTAAAACCATTAACAATATATCCCTTGTAGTACATTACTTCTTGTGATGGACCTCGAGCTAAATCTAATAGTTGTTTGTCAACTTCATTGCTTCCTTTATTATATAGCTTAGTAACCTACATAGACAATAGTATCATGTTTAATTATAAGTAGATAAATACAAACAAATAGATCATAACTACTATGTATTTTTTTTACTTACATGACTTTCAAACCATTCTATAAACTCTTTATCGTGCTTTCTCTGTGCATTTCTGGCATCAACATGTTGTAATGCTTGTGTGTGCTCACTAAAAAGAATTATAAAATTAGAACACACTTAACGTTTCATTTTAAAATATTTATCACTAATGAACTTTTTACGTTTCATTTTAAAATATTTATCACTAATGAACTTTTTTCTTACCCAATATATGGTAGGACATCATCACAATTCTTTAAAATATAAAGATGAGCTTGTCTCCACTCTTCTGTCGTGAGTCTTCTTGATTGTTTACCTGGTCGCATAGGACGACCAACTGGTTTAAAAATAGACAATCCATCATATGAACTATGATCGTTGTCTTCATTTCTTTTCACTTGGTTGAACTTAGTTTCAATGGTATGA